AAACAGGACGCACTACTACTAACGAACACAGCCTTACTTGATGGTGTCATCACCAAGCAGGAAGCCTCTTTTCTATCTAAAGACTTCTACAACACCCCGTATTTTTACTTTCTCCCCAAAGTACACAAAAATCCAAATAATCCACCAGGAAGACCAATCGTAGCGGCCACAGGGACCATTACCAGCGGTTTCTCCCAATATATCGACCACTTCCTACAACCCCTTGCACAGGCTCAACACTCATATATCCGGGACAGCGGACACTTGCTAGAATTACTCCAAACATACTCCTAGGAACCCGACTATTGTTGGGTCTCGTTAGATGTCTGCTCCCTATACACCTCGATACCTCATGATGTAGGCATCACCGCCATCCAGCATTATCTATCCTTGGATCCATCACTCAACCCCAAACAATCTTCCTTTATAGTAGACGCCACCTCATTTTGCCTCAAACACAATTACTTCACATTCAACCACGATTTCTACTTACAAACTCAAGGTACAGCCATGGGAGCCAACTTTGCACCCTCATATGCCAACTTGACTATGAGTTTCTGGGAGGACAAACACATATGGCACAACAATCCCTTTGCCGCCCACATCATCTTTTACGGCCGTTACATAGATGACATTTTCGTCATCTGGGATGGACCAATATCACACGTAGACCAGTCGTAACCCATTGCAATTCAAAACCTTTTGGACTGTCCTTCACCTCCACTCACCACAAACATACTCTTGTATTCCTAGATCTCGAATTATACCATGACAATCTCCAAATATTAACAAAAAACCACTTCAAACCCGTATCTGGCAACTCATACCTCCACTTCAACAGCTGCCACCACCCCAAATGGATCCAAAATATACCTAAAGGACAATTCTGTCGTCTCAGACAAAACTGCACCACAGATTCAGATTACAATCTCCAGAGTGACATTCTAATAAAGAAATTCCTAGACAAAGGTTACCCACACAAGCTAGTAGATGAGGCCCACTCCTTCTACCACAAGGGTAGACCTCAAACACACAATAACACACAGCCTCCCAACCAGGTCAGATTTATAACCAAATTCCACAACAACTTTCACAAAAATGGAGTCTATCATCAATAGACATTGGCCGATACTACTACAGGATCCACATTTAATAGACATCTTCGATAAAAAAACCAAAATACACCTACCGCAAAGCCATCAACCTTAAAAACAAGATTGCCCCCAGCAAATACAACCCACCCACCAACACACTCAACACAATCTGCCTCATACCCATTGTCGGCATGTATAGATGCAACAAAGCGCTATGCAAAACTTGCCAATTCGTTAAACACGAACAAAAAAACTTCACCACAAAAGGAAAAACCTATTCATTCAAAGAATTTTACAACTGCTCCACTGATCATGTGATCTATTGTATATCCTGCCCTTGCGGCCTCCTATATGTGGGACGAACCATCAGACCCCTCCGCGCCAGGTTTGGCGAGCACAGACGTCTTATTGAAGATGGTAAAGACAAACATAGCGTCCCCCGCCACTTCCTTGAATATCACCAAAAATCCACTGATGGCCTACAAGTATGGGTCTTAGAATCCATACACAACAATCTCTCTGAGTCTGATCGTTTCAAAAAACTCTGTTCACAAGAAACGTATTGGATATTTACATTAGATACATTGTCCCCAGGCGGACTCAACGAGGAATTAGACATTAACACTATACTATAAACACTACAATCTCCCCATTCACAGTCACTCAACACTCACAATGATACTCATCCCCCCCCCCCCCCTTTCTTATAAAATTATTTATTTTTTTTTATCGAATTTTTTAATCAAATTTTTTTATCGAATTTCTTTTTTTTTTTTAATCCAATTTTTTAGTTTATTATTTATAACCTTTGTTCATTATTTATATTTTATTCTATTTTTTATAATTTTTTACAATGTAATTTACTTTTTATAATGTCATCTGCATGTATTATTACCAATATGTTTATCATCTTGCAATCATGCTGTATCATCTTGCAATCATGCTGTATTACCACTAAATATCTGCTCACTACTGTTACATAATTGATGTGCCAGTGCTGCAAGGTGAACATTTTACCCACTAATCTCCCAGAACATAATTTTTTTTTTTTTTTTTTTTTTCTTTCGTCTTCCATTTTCTTATTTATTACATCCTCTCTTTTTTCCATTTGGTTTCCTTTTACCCCCCAGTTAACATCCATGACTTTACACTATTCACCTGACAGCAATGGTCAATCACTGGTTAATTGGTTAATTGATCAATTAGACTCACGTTCCCTATATATTCACCCCTGTTCATCCACTTCCCCCTGCTTGAAAAAGGAGTGCACTTCCGCCTTCCATGGCCAGTGCATGCTCTGAAACGCGTCGCAGTGCACCCTGGGATCTGACGTCATCACGGCCACGCCGCCGCAACGTTCCAGCGTGCGTTCCATCCGGCTTTGAGGGAGGACGTGCATGAAGGCTGGCCTCACCGCTGTTCCCCCTCCAGCCATACCACGCTTGTTCCAGCCGAGAGCTGACCTCCCCACATCGCAGAGAGATGACGGCTCTTCACCCGGGTTACCACCCCACCGTTAACTATTGTTAACCACGGTTTTTAAGCTTATGATTACTTCACACATGTGAGTGTTTCTACATTTAGACTTGAATTAAAAGACTTATTGCACTTAGAGGCGCTTCTCTCCTTTTTCTCATCTACAGAAGTTGCTACAGCTTATTTGGAAGCCTTGCCCTCAGTGCCACACGGAATCCTACGCTCTTCATACAGTAGCCACTAATACCACCATCACCCATACTACCATTTCCCAGGACTTTGCAGTGTTTGCGCTGTTACAACCCTTCCTCACTTTAGTTTTGATGGAGAACCCAGGGCCTGGTTCGATGGCTTCTGGTTTTACCACACGGGAGTCGGCGATGGTGAGGAAGGCCCCGATGTCTTGGAATCCCGTGGTACTTGGCCCATCGATCAGGACTACTTGCAAGTGGCGCTGCCTCTGCTCCGTGTAGGCAGGGACAAGTGGGTGAACACTGTAGAATCCCCGGGGTGTACTGGCCTTTTGTGGAGGTCACCCATTCACTGGGCGGTGGGGGAAGCAGCTCATCCTCTGGTGGTAGTTCAATGTAGTTGACTGGGCAGTTGGGGCAGCGGTTCCTGGGACAGCAGGCCTGGAGGTGCCTGGTCTGGTTGCATCCATAACACCAATGGTCCAGGGGTGGCCCCAGAGGTCGGGGGGGTAGGAAGGCATTGGAGAGGGACCCGAAGCTGGCATGATGGGCCGCCAAAAGGGTGGTGTGGGGAGGCCAAGGCGCGGGTCGGGCAGAGCTCTGGGCCTTAGGTGGTTCAGTCACACGTTTTTTCCAATGTGGCTTGATGGTGAGAACCTCGTCTGCCAGTGCAGCAGCCCGCTCGGGTGGCAGGGTTTCTCTTCTTCACCCACTCGTGCACCTATGAGGGGCATTGGGTATAGAACTGTTCCTTCAGGAAGGCCTGGATAACGTGTTCAAAGGTGAGGGCCTGTTCCCCTTCCAGCCAGTGCCGGCAGGGCCGCAGCATCTTGTGTGCATACATTTTGGAAGGACAGTTCAGCGTGACAAGAAAGATCCTGGAAGTGGATCCAGTGGGTTTCCGGTGTTACAGCATAGTGTTCCCGCACAGTCTGTTTTGCCCGTCGTCTAGTCTTGTCTTGATTCTACTGGGTGGCCATTGTCCAGCAGCTGCACCCAGTCTGCATGGGATCCATTCAGGGGAACCGTGACACATTTGTTGACATAATGTCAGTGATTCTCTCATTAATGCAGGTGTCAATGTTGCCGAGGAAAAAGGACAAGGCTGAAGATCAATCTGTCATGCCAATTGAGTTAGAATAACCGGAAGCTTTAAAAGGAGGGTGGTGCTTGAAATCATTGTTCTGTTAACCGTGGTTACCTGCAAGGAAACAAATGCAGTCATCATTGCTTTCCACAAAAAGGGATTCATAGACAAGGATATTGCTGCTACTAAGACTGCACCTAAATCAAACATTTACAGTGCACCCAGAAAGTATTTCCAGCGCTTAACTTTTGCCACATTTTGTTATGTTACAGCGTTATTCCAAAACGGATTAAATTAATTTTTTCCCTCCACATTCTACAAACAATACCCCATAATGACAACGTGAAAAGAGTTAATTTTGAAATCTTTGCAATTTTATTAAAAATAAAAAACCCCATGTACATGAGTATTCACAGCCTTTGCTCAATACTTTGTTGAAGCCCCTTTAGCACTAATTACAGCCTCAAGTCATTTGGTGTCAGGGCTCCCAGGTGTGACCAGAGATGTGTGACTGACGCAGGGAAACGCAGACTTCAGATATGTGATAAACAATGTAATTTATTAACACTAACAATACAACCATAAACGCAGTGCAATACTAAAACATAATACAGTGCAAACAAACCAAACCAACCACCCACAGATAACAGTACAAACAAGCAAGCGTCGTCAGGCAGGCCGGGTCAATATCAATAGGGCAGGTAGGTACAGGGGGAGCAAGCGGAGATGGTCGGGGTCACAGGCCAGGTTCAGCAGGTAGCAAGCAGCGTAGTACAGAGGGTTAGGCAGAGGGATGGTCAGGGTCACAAGCCAGGGATCAGAACAGGTAGCAAGCAGCGTGGTACAGAGGGTCAGGCAGAGGGATGGTCAGGGTCACAAGCCAGGGATCAGAACAGGGTCAGCAGAGAATCAGACAGGAACAGGATACAGGATGCAGGACAGATACAGGGCCCAGGACAAACACAACACCAAGGCAGAGTCTGCAAGTCTGGCCATCCCTTAAATACACCAGTATCATCAGTTCCAGGTGTTAGCTGGCTGAAAGGTTGAGTCTCTGATTGCTGGGAGCACCCGCTGGCCAGCCCTGGTACTGCAGATCAAAAGGCAGGTGAGTCCCACCATTGCTGGCTAGTCCATTCCTGACAGTACCCCCCCCTCAAGGAGCGGCCTCAGGACGCTCCAAACAGTCCTAGCTGGGCAAAATGTTCCACCGCCCGGGTCTGGTAACTGGCGGGATATCAAAGACTGGCACACCGGGCAGGACTCCGGGCAGCGGCACTCCGGGCTGGGCACTCCGGGCAGAGGCACTCCGGGCAGAGGCACATCGGGCAGGACTCCGGGCAGAGGCACATCGGGCAGGACTCCGGGCAGAGGCACATCGGGCAGGACTCCGGGCAGAGGCACATCGGGCAGGACTCCGGGCAGAGGCACATCGGATTACCAGGCGAAGCAGCAGGCAGTGGGCCACCAGGCGGAGCGGCAGGCACCGGGCCCCCGGGCGGGGCGACAGGCACCGGGCCCCCCCCCCCCCGCGGCGGGGACAGGCACCGGGCCCCCGGGCGGGGCGACAGGCACCGGGCCCCCAGGGCGGGGCGACAGGCACCGGGCCCCCAGGCGGGGCGACCGGCACGCATCGGGCCCCCAGGCGGGGCGACAGGCATCGGGCCCCCAGGCGGGGCGGCGGGTGCCGGACCCCCAGGCGGAGCGACAGGTCTCGGGCCTTCAGGCGGAGCGGCGGGTGCCGGACCCCCAGGTGGAGCGGCGGGCGCCGGACCCCCAGGTGGAGCGACAGGTCTCGGGCCCTCAGGCGGAGCGACAGGTCTCGGGCCCCCAGGCGGAGCGGCGGGCGCCGGACCCCCAGATGGAGCGACAGGTCTCGGGCCCTCAGGCGGAGCGGCGGGCGCCGGACCCCCAGGTGGAGCGACAGGTCTCGGGCCCTCAGGCGGAGCGGCGGGCGCCGAGTCACCAGGCACG